TATGTGAAGTCCAACTTGTTTTGTATGTCGCCAAGTTTTCTCATTTTGAGCAACCTGAGTTAGGTCTAGAACCACCCAAAATAGATGGTCCAAACGCCTCCTGGACCGTAGGCGCGCGACGTTTTGTGCACGCATAGGGTACGAGTTATAATTGAACTAGTACGCTTTAGGTAGCAACTTAAAGATAGTAATCGGGTAGCTGGAGATGATAGTATGTGCGCGCTGAATAATACGAGTAACACCCCATCTGAAGGAAGTTACGAAGTATTATTTATGTTGCATGGGGTGATCCTTTAGGCTAAAAAGAGAAGAGTCGCCATCTAATAATTTTTTAAGGTGCTAAGGGCACCTATTTGTAAATAACTCTGTTTGATTAGTCAACGCCGTCAAAGATCGGGTAAGGGCTTAAATTACCTCAAAGAGAAGGTGTTAGGCACTCTTCGAGGTCAATAACTGTGGTTCCTGTCTGAAGTTTAAACTATGTGGATTGGATAATTAAGCTAGATAAGCAAAGAAAGATGTAGAAGCTGAAAACTATATTATAACATAAGAATTAACCATATGACTGATTGATACAAATCTTAAGAATCACAAGGAGTACAATTGCGTTGATCTATGACTAAGTGTGAACATCAAGTATATAAAGGATAGGGGGTCCTAAGTGTTTTAGCCTAAATGATTACCCCGACAATATAAATAATACTTCATAACTCCCTTGGGTTAGGGGTTGCTTATATTATTCAGCGGGCACAGACTATCATCTCCTGCTACCCAATTACTATGTTGAAGTTATTACTTAAAGGCACTCTAATTCAATTTTAAGCCGCATCTTATGCGTGCATTATCCGTCCCATGCCTATGGTCCAGGAGTCTTTGGACCTACTATTAGGTGGTTCTAGACTTTACTTAGGTTGATCAAAATGATAAAATTATGCGACTTTCAGAACAGATAGGACTGCACATAATAAAATAAAAGCCTCAAGTTGACCTCCATACATAGTCACAAAAAGCACGCAATCAGATTTTTTGGTGATGTAGTAGACAGAATTAGACGTATTAGAATTAGGTCCTATAGGCATGATTTCTATATGATTCCGATACTACACAGGTAGTGCTTCAGCGCTACGAATTCTATAGGTATGATTTCTAATAGTTTCATAATTAGGCAGTGAAGTCGCTTGGAAACATAGGATTAGCAACGTCAATAAATATCCTATAGGCAGGACTTCGAACAATTGACAATTGGACTTGATTTCATAACACTTTATTCCTACAGGCATGCTATTTAAGTGAGACAGTACAAAAGCAGCATAAATCATTTGATCAATTATTAAACTTTATAGTCATGATATCCAGATTAGCGAAGGTATTGTATTATTGTATCCTATAGGCATGCCATCTAAAACATTTAATGGTAAACATGGAAACAAGTGTAGCAAATTTGTACAATTTAAGCAAAGTGTGTGCGTGATTCCTATATGCATGATTCCTATCAGTGTGCAACACGCGCTAAACGAAACAACGAATAAGGCATGTTGGACGTAGTAGCAAATAGAACACATAGACCATATAGGCATGTTTTCTACACGTTTATGCAAGTATAAGAATACCCCAACCCCCTATCCATTAATTTCCCCATCATTCGTTATTATAAATTATTACAGACCAAGTAAACAATATAAACAGGATAGAATAGTCACAAGCCCAATGGAATAGCTATAAGCCCTACACAAAGTAACCAGTGATGTTCTGGGCCTTCAATAGTCTTGCTCTCCGAACAACCAGCAGGCCCAAATTCCAAGCTCACAAGGACAACTAGAATGCATCTGAATCCAGTACTTAGGTCCAATAACACAAACGGCCCAGGCCCGAACATGAAGACAATTGTCTTGCTTACGCAGTAACCAACAACAAATGACACAAGTAACAACCTACACGAACTAATTACTCAAATAACTTCAGATATAGACACATTCACAGGGGAGTACTTAGGTGCTATAGCTAATGAAGAAACTGGACTTGTTAAACATGATATCCTAGAGGTATAGAAGCACACGAACGAGAATAGAACAATTTTAACCGAGACTCTCAAAGAGATTTCAACAGACAGGGGTTTAAAATAAATACGGTGCAAAATTATTCAATTGGAGTTCATGCATAGAAAGTTTAACAGAATGGTCTAAGGTAAGACATGCTTGAAACAAGTTCTACAACCAAATAGAGATTCCTATCATGACAGTCCAAAACAAAACAATCATATAAATACAGTTTTATGGGGATACAAAATAGCTAGTCAGCATTCACTTAATTCCAAAGAAACCAGAGATTTTACAGGTTGATCACACATGACACGTTCGGTTATGCATCCAGGATTGCCTAAAGGTATTAGACTCGAGTAAATTTAACACTAATAGGCAGGGTTTCATCATGATAACAGAATTATTGTAAATATGTAACAATAATACTTTGTCGGGGTTCACAAAAGGTATAGAAACGTAAGTCATGCTTGGTATGAAAGTTTAGACAGTATTAGCATGCAAAAATTTAGACAATCATGGATTAATTCTAAGGAAAGTTAGCAGTTTGTACATGATTGCACCAGATATGAAATATAAGGAAGGCATGGTCACAACTAATTGGTAATCAAACAGGACTTCTTAAAAGCAGGCAGATGAGTAGGCATAGTCCAATTCAACTTACAAATGCCCACTTAGTTCAAACGTGAGAGACTTAACACATTCAAATTCAAGGCAAACGTCAATCATCTCAAGAAGGCTAAAAAATCTAAGGTGATACAGGAACTCATGGAGGATGAAACTATATAAAATTCAAGGTTAACACGAAAGTCAGGTAACACTTAAGAAGGCCAGAATCCATTCGAGTCAAATACACATAATGATAGTACACTACATATATTGAAACCTATCAAGTTTGATACTAGAGAACATGGAACTGCAGAACATCGTTAAGACAATAGAATTAAAAGTAAAGCATACAACAAACAGTACCGGGGGTTCACAAATAGCAAGGAAACTAAGTCATGCTTATTCACAAAAGTTCAGACAATATTGGTACACAAACACACATGACAGAGACAAATACGAGGGAAATAGTATTGTAAGCATCATGAAAACTAACCAGCTGCAGATTAACAACAGGACTCCCAAAATCCCCGTGCGTCAGAGTCCCCAAGGGTTTCAAGTGAATCCCGGACAATACTCGCACTAAGAAAAGAACAACAATTGAATTCCGGTGGCCTTGGCTTTCAGCCGGCCAAGGTCAAACTTAGAATAGTAAAACGAGTGAGAATGAGAGTAATAGCATTAATAAGGTCTGTCCAAAGGGGAAATTGGGAAGGGGTTATATAGTTGCAAAAATAGAACATCCAAACAAGGAAACATAGTCAATCAAACATAAATAAGGAAAGAAAAGCATGCATAATCGATTTTGAACCAAATTAGGAGAAAAATCAGGCAAACCCTAGTTTGCCCGGAATCACAGTTTGGCCGAAGAATCTTGGTAAATCGGATCCCATATAATCTTACCATGAATGTATATAGACGAAAAATAGTTTGAATCTTGAGGAGTGAGTCCGATTTCTCTTGATTCAGAAGATAATGCCAGAACCGGGCAAGTACTAAGTAACACCATAGTCACGCAAGTAACAAATGAGATAATCCATAAAAGGTAAGTAAACCATGGCAAGAATCCACAAGTTGATCGGTTTCGAAGGAGATTTGGAGATGGCAGCTACGGCCTGTGAAGAGAGGAAGGGGATAGAGAGAACACAGAGGCAACTGGGTGGGGAAATGAGTCTCTAGGGTTAGTGGGGAGGGATATAAGGAAAAATGGGTATTTATTATGGGCAGTTGATCATTTAAGATCAACGGCCAAGATCGAATACGAAACGGGCAAGTTAAATGAACGGGTCACTAACCGGTTAAATAAGAGGGTCGTTTGGCTTGGGCCCTGCGAATTGGGCCAGGGATTTGGGGTGTTTGGGCCATTAATATGGTCCTAAAATTGGCATAACTTCGACTATATTTTAAAATACAAGGAATTAACGGAAAATAATTTAATAAAATATAAAATGCTATTTATGAAACTTAATACTTTAAAACAATAGTAGAAGATTATAAAAAATATAAAAAATTATTTTGACCTTAAATTAAATGACAAATGCAATTAATTATAAAATATAGGCTATTATTGTAAAATTGCACAAATAGTTCAAAATGCAGATATGGTTATTTAAAATGAAGTAAAATATTATAAAGCGTATATGTAGGTATAAATAATAAATTCAAATGATTAAGTCATCACCAAATAATTTGAAGGAGTAATTAAGTTTGAGTAATTTAAATGCAAGAAAATTAATTTTAAAGCCTTAAAATGGAAAGTACTTATATGACTCTTGTAAATTGGTAATAATTCATAAATGATATTTTATAAGTATATATAACATTTATAAAATATGAGGACAAAATTGAGTGTCAACAATATACACTTATGCTTCAAAAATAAATAACTTTTTCTTATATATATATATATATANATATATATATATATATATATTTATATATATATATATATATATATATATATATATATATATATATATATATATATACGAAATAAAATTTTAAAAATAATACGACATTTAAAATAGATTATATTCCATTTGTACTATTTTACATGAAAGAGTTTAACTAGACGTAAAATTTAAAAAATAACAAGCAAGTGAAATATGTGTAAAGTGCCAAAACTATCTTGTAAAACGAATAATTGTGAAAGTTCATCTGTCTTTTGATTTTTCTCAATGAATATTATATTAAGCCCAACTGGTCACTTAATTAAAGTAAAAATAAGATTATTAAGACGAAAAAGGTTTTTTTTTTTTTGACCAAATGAAAAAGGAAAATACGTGGAATAGCAAGTACTTATGATTTATGTTCCAGGGCCGGGCAGGAGTGGAGGCCCAAATTTGCAGAGCCCTGTGTTACTAAAGCCCCAATTGGGTCATGGGAAGAAGGAACAATCAACCATGGCTGGTGAGGAAGAAGTGGAAGCCGAAGTCGAAGTCGAGCAGCAGCAGCCATGTCCACCACCACTACTCTCCAAGAGTGCACAGAAGAAACTGATAAAGCAGCAGAGATACGAGGCCAAAAAGGCGGAGAAAAAGGCACTGCTGAAAGAGCAGAAGAAGAAAGAAGCTGAACGCAAGCGTAAAGAATGGGAGGACAAGTTGGCCGCCGCTACGGAAGAGGAGAAGCAACAGTTGATAGAGTCCAAACTGTCCCTCAGGAAAGAGAGAATGGACCAACGAACCGAAGAAAAAGGAAAGAAGATGCAGAGGCTCACTGAAGCTAAACAAAATGGGCAAAATGTAGTTATTGATCTCGAGTTTGGTCATCTCATGAACTCCAGTGAGCTCCATAGCCTCGTCCAACAGGTTCAATATTTTTTTCATTTTCTATACCCATTTGTTGTTACATTCTATTCCTTCCTATGAAAAAAGAACGACAAGTTATTTTTTTTTTTTTTTTTTTTTTTTTTTGTGTGTGTGTGTGCAATTGTAGTTTTTTTTCTATAAATCATATTACAGTTACAAAATAATCAAAATACTATTTGACTGGTGATTCTCTTGGACAAACGAAATTTTTTGTATTTTGGATAGAGAAGATGCGACATTCCAATAAAAATCTAATCTTGAGATGCTTTGATCTGTTTGACTAGGAGACACCACTTATGTTTTGTGAAATGGTTGCCTTTTGCGCATTAAATACTTATTACACTAGAAGCCTAAAAGTCACTGTATTTGTTCCACTATCCTTAGCTGATTTGATTTAATTGGGTTTATGTGATTGTTGCAGTGTACCTGAATAGTCATGACATGAAGCTGAATCTTGAATTAACTCTTTACAAATGCAATTTTGCCTTACATGTTTGAACAAGCTAACGTTATTGGACTTGTGGCAGATCATGTACTGTTATGCCGTGAATGCAAGATGTAATTCTCCTGCTCACCTTTGGTTGACTGGCTGTCAAGGAGAAATGCAAGATCAGCTGCAGAGACTACCAGGATTTGACAAGTGGATAATTGAGAAGGAGAACCGGCCTTATATTGATGCATTCCAAGATCAGAAGGAACGCCTTGTGTATCTTACTGCAGACTCTGAAACAACGCTAGACGTCCTTGATCCAAATCATATATATATCATTGGTGGGTTGGTGGATAGGAATCGGTGGAAAGGACTAACCATGAAAAAAGCAGAAGACCAAGGGATTCAAACAGCTAAACTCCCAATAGGAACTTACCTAAAGATGTCTAGTTCCCAGGTATTGAATCATTGAGCTACTTCTCTCTGTTGCCTTGACACCCTGCATTGTGAACTATGTTAATGAGGTAAAACCTGAGTTCTTGCGGCACTCTTTATGTTTGACAATGAAATTCACAGATGGTTTTGCTGGTTAGGATGATTATTTGAGGTATGCTGCTAGGCTATGTGCCTCAATTTTTTCACATGAAAAACAACACTAGCTAATAAGGTTCTAGATATGTGTCTTGAAGCTGAACTCTTAGGAGCCTGCTCATTGTATCTGTGCTGGAAGAAAATCTAACGACAGTATTGTGACTTGCTATATAAAGATTTGTTTTAAATACTTCGCCATATTCTGCAGGATATCAATAAAGTACTATACTTTTTCTCTGGGATAATATAAAGTCGGCTACTTTGACCTTGACAGCTCTTGTTAAAGGATGTCACATATCAGCAGATTGGATTATTGACTCATAGTCTTCTTGAGTACAAGGGTTAGGGTTCCATAAGGTTAAATGCGTTGAAATGCGTAAAATATGAATGTATTTGGAGGTAAAAGACATGTCACTAGCATTATAAACTTTTAGATTCAAATTGTTGCTAGTACTTCATAGTGGTTAAATTTTCCTAGATCTGAGAGCACGAGATGGAGTTATTGCATTGAGTGAGCATAGGACATTCATAATAGTCTGAGAGACTGCCTGCTGAGGTTTATCTTGAAGCTAAAAGTATCTTGTTTCTGTTTCCTTCAGTATATGTCACGCCACATTAAGCTATGCACCTCATGGTAATTCAATATTACCTCGATAAATATCTCAAAGATGTCGGATCTCTAATTATCTTATCTGCATTTGGTGTCCATAGAAGAAGTTTGAAAATTAGCAGCATGAATGATACAGTAGCATATGATACATATGCATGAATAGTGAATCTTATATCTTTTGGTACAACTGCTGGTGTATAACACATGGGACAATTGTCATTTTAGTGAAGAGAAGGGGTTAGTAGGCGGTTTGATGCTAAAACTGGAGCATAAATATGACACCACCTCCAAAAAATATAGTATTCAACTTAGACCAGCAATTAACTGCGTATGTCATATATTGATGGTATCTTGTGTTCTCATGTGTTACTTATTCCTTTTATTTTGTTGGGTCTTCTCAAAAATATTTTTCTCCTAGCCAAGAATTGAGAAGATATAGTTAAAGTTGCTACATCTTAAATGCCCTGAGATCAGGGACCTTCATGATGACGCATGATCAGTCCTTTTGTATTCCTAAGAAATATATCTGTTTACTTAATAAATATTATTAAAGGTGTATAGTTGCCTTCTTCATGTACTTAGACTACCAATATATCTTAACTTGATTTTATTTATTCTTTTAAAAAAAATTTAACCTTTGCTTTGATCTGATTCTGGACGCACATTATTGCATGATCTAATTTTATAGAATGGATTTTGTGACGCTAGTAGAAACTGTTTCTGCACTGATCATATGTTGTATGTAAAAGAGAGGACTAATGCAAACGTTAAAAGATATGATGGCATTGAGCATTTCAGTAGAGTGTATATAAAGGTTTGGTGTATCATGGGGCTCTTGCAACTTGAGGGAACAGATATGCACCAGATTATTGCAATTTGCATCTTGAGAGAACAGATTCTGCGTTATTTTTTTTGTGTTAGACTGGTAACATGGTCAATTAGTATTCTCTTTTCTTTGCCAATAAAATTTTAGTGGCCAGTGGATCTACAGTATATGTTTAGTGTAGATCACATTATGAAAACCCTCTGTTTGTCCTAACATGTATTTTTCTGATGCAGGTCCTTACCGTCAATCAAGTGGTAGAGATACTTCTGAAATACTTGGAGACAGGAGACTGGAAAACTTCATTCTTTGAAGTGATTCCACAAAGGAAAAGATGTGAGGCTGAATCCGAAGAGGGTGATAATGATATTGAACGGGTAGAAAAGACTGAAGGGAAAGATGATCACGAGTTTGAAAGATGTGATATTGAACGGGAAGAAGAGACAGAAGGGAAAGATGATCACGAGTTTAAAAGACAGTGCATTGAGAGTTGAAGTTTCAAAAGATCAAGACAGTCTTTGGGTATCATCTTGTTCTCCAGAGCATGTCCTGGAGAGAAGGCAATTTAAGGTGAAATTACCTTGTCGAGAATGTCTTGGCATTATTTTTTTATTTCTTCCTCGTGCAGCTCATCTTTTGGGTGCATATGCATGTTGGAAAGGATAATTTTGTTGTATTTTGCCTTTGGCAAACTTGAGATGATAAACAGATGATATGCTTTTGTCTAGTAGATTTGATCAGAATAGAGTCCGTGCTAGGCTAAGCGTTGTTCCTGCAAAAAACTTTGCCCTGTGCTATCCATTCCAGCAAATTGATCAAGACAAGAAGGTTATAAATACTATACGGATTTGGCTTGTTACTTTAACCACTTGATGCAACTCTATTGGTCTTTTTTAAATGTTTGAGTCCTTTATCACTGTAATGTCAGCCTAGACTTGTGAACAAAATACTTGGTGTTTGATTGGGTTCGAACATTTTGCATCAGAAGATATACAAGGCGCAGGCAATCATGAACCAAATACTCAAAATAGACAGGCAGCAAAATATACAAAAAGCAAAAAGGAAGCCACCGTTTGGCTCGCTTTGTTCAAAAGAAGTACCACTAGACTTTGCAAAGAACTAATCTAAGATTGTCAATAGATCCCAAATTAGATAACATCCCACCAAGATTGAGAGAAAAGGCGGTCTGTTCCAACAGCTTCCTTCAGCAGAGACATTTACTCCTTACCCTCCTCCGCAAGAGACTCAACATCATTTTCCACAGTAGCCACTGCACCATGAGAAGAGCTTCCATTTGATGCATCCCTCTGCATATAACCGTTGCCCATTGGTGGTGGATACGCAAAGTATCCATGGTGATGAGCTATTGAAAAAGGAGGCAACTGATAGGGCGCCATGGGCGTCATGCTAGCTGAAGCAGGATCAATCATTGGCCGCTTCATCAGCAAAGGCTCCCCTCTCAAAGATCCACGCTCGCCACCATCAAACTCACGATAACGATGCAAGTATAAAGTCAAGGGTTCAATGTAGTCATCAAAACCAAGCTTGCTCATGGCCCAAAGAACGTCCTCAGCAGTGATGGTCTTCCTCTGCTCACGCTGGCAACGCTCGTTGGCTTCGCCAGTGATGAAGCTTATGAACTCAGACACACATTCTTGGATGGTCTCTTTAGAGTCATCCGATATCTTGGCATGCGGAGGAAGGATCCTGCGCATGATTCTGATCACGTTTGCTATTGGCATGAATCGGTCTTGCTCCCGAATGGTGCATTCGGAATCTTGTTCTGAGTTGTTGGTGGCACTATTGTTTGTATTGGCAGCAATGGCCTGGTTGAGATGAGCAGACAGTCCCATGCTCATGTCTGTAGCTTTCACACAACAACAAAGAATTCTTGCATAAGACTAAGCGACAAAGTGATCAATTGAAAGGTATCAAAATCTTCTAATACATGAAAAAAAAAATTTAATCACAAGATCGTATATATTTTATATACTACTAGTAAACATTATGTCGCATTAATTTTTTACTACTTACTTTGTGACTTTTCAAAGTTTGTTCAATATTGAATAAACAAAACAAATGTCGTATATATGTTTCACCAATGTGAAGCTAGCTGGTCGTAGGGCACATATAAGACACCAAAAGAGACGAGGCCTTTTGGACAATAGGTCATTCATGTAACTCCAAATTTTAAAAGCCACGACAAATGATGGTGGGAATGCAGACTAATTAAACTAACAGAAGCTAAAACGCTTCATATTCATGGTTTTCGTCATCTTATTTTGTCTACTCTTCAACCCTCCAATACACGCGGCTCACACCCTTAGTTTATCCCCCACAACTAACCCTCACAGTCACATATGTCCCAAAACCATCCAAACTTACCCTTGGTCCTTTGATCAAGAAGCTTTTTCTATTTTGTTTTTCCATTAATTATGATAGGAATAAGACAAAAATGTTATTGTAACGGACACTGCTTTCATATGTACTACTAAAGAGTTGTTCCTAAAGTTATATGCCTCTAAACTTTGGGAAAAGAACTGCTAAATTTTAAGTATGTATAAAGGTGGAGTGGCACAAATTTATTACGTACTTCCGTTTATTTGTTATATATTTCTCCTCTATTGTTATGCCAAAATCAGATAACGTTAATGCTACTATATATATAGCTTCACAAATTAGTTGTATATATTAGATATAGAATATGTCCTCATATGTAATGCAGACCATAAGGCACTAACTTCATACTCCTATGCATAATCTTTTTAACCAAATAAGGCTTATTACAAAACAGCTGGTTTCTTTAGAAGAATCAGAGATTACTGCTTTTGACGGGGGGTTGTCCTCTCTTTTTCCAATTTTTTTTTTTGGTGGGTGGGTCGGGGGGGGGGGGGATGATAAGTGGCACGTGTACATAAGGGGTAAAGACGACATACTATAGGTTAAGAGATTGCATGCATGCCACTTGTTTCCATTTTGTCTTGAAAAGTTACAATTTGTGTTCGAACAAACCAGAAATGATATATCACCAAAGCATTTGCAAAACCACCATGAATCTATTCAAGGATATATAACAGACATATAGGGATATTCAAGAAAGTTGTAAAAAAAATTAATAATCAATCCTACTCATTAAAGTACGTAGAGATGATATCGATGGGCTGATTATTAAGAAAAGCCTCACCGTGCACGAAAAAGACGATACAAGAAACGGAGAGAAGCTCTCCATTTCACCAGAATGTATCTACATTTTCTTGAATCTGTTGACTAGTACTTAATAGAGCTAAAGAAGATAATGAAAAACATATATAGGAAGAGAAATAATTACTTAGATGTTTAGGATTGAACGAATAATTAATTACTATTTGGACAAACTCTCTTGATGAAAACAGTGTCCGCTTTGCTCTTTTTATTCTCTCTTTTTTATGTTGGGAGGTATAAATGTGCTTCAGCATAAAGCATTCACGAATGATATCCCCTCATATATAGCTCCATTCTCTTTTTAACCATAAGAAAAAAAGGTTTGTGCGCCAGAAAAATTGAAAGCTGACACTTGAAAGGAAACAAGAAAATCCTACAAACGCTTGAAATCCTCCTTAGGACCATTAGAATAAGAGTCAAGCATTGATAGAGTAATTAAATAATTAAAGAAAAAGCAACACTATTGTATTGTTTGTGTATATATATATATATATAGCGGTAGCCATGAAATCCTCCATTACCATTTCCTCCCCCAAGATTATCCATCTCTTGAGCTATCTAACTATAGACAGTGTTGTCTCTCTCCAACAAAATAATGAAGCAAAATAAAGTAAATATGGCATGGCAAGTGGCCATATTTATAGATATATATTGAAAAAAAAGAAGGGAGAAAGGCACGTGGCAGTAGGGCGTAGTGAACGAGAAGAGGGTATTCGCCGGGATAAATAGGCTTCACAGTTGGGCAGATGAGCATTGACCGGAATCATACACAGACGACCGCATAACGCCATATTTATAGAGAGTAACTAATTAATACAGTAAGTAAATCAGTTTAACTTGGCCATTTGGGCGCTTTTACTTTTCTCCTTTCTCAATGCTCTGTCAAACTTAAAGTTCCAATCCAATTCAAACTGAACTGAATGCTGCATATTATGGTTCAATCTGGTCATTAATATGACCAAATTAATGTAACTAGGCAAACGTAAGGAGAGGCGCAGTTGGACCAACTGAGTTGGTAATTTATTTACATGTAAGTTCAAACTTCAAAAATAATTCATCGTCCAATCCAGTATGCGATCTTTGTAGGGTTAGGGTAAGGTCTGGTACTCATTAATCCATGGAACTATACTGGGTATGTTGTTGTTGTATTTGACTCGAGCACTGCCAACTGAATTTGATCTTGGTACAAAGAAAATAATAGTTCAAAACAAACATGTGAAACTATTAATATAGTTAGCTTTATTTGGGTATATATAGTAGGCGGGGGCGGATTTAGGGGGGAGGGGGATTTAGTAATATTACACTGCATATATTAGGCAAAATTTGTTTTTACCTCTATAGATTATGTTTTGAATCCCCTTGACATAGCCCAAAAGCATAGCTTAGTGGTCAAGGGGGTTCAAAATTGTTGTAAGGTCATTGGTTTAATTCCCACTAGCTACAATTTCATTTAATCTTTTAACTTTTTTTCTTTTTTGAACCCCCTTAGCGAAAATTCTGTCTCCGCTGCTGATAGTAGGTATTGTTGGTAGTAGTTTTTTATTGACTAACCGTTATTTTCTTTCATTGTGATCACCTTATTATCTTGTAGTCTTTATTCTACTTTTTATATGGCTTTTGGGCTGTCACTTTTTATTTATATTTTTATTAATGTGCTGCTTATGCTTTCCTGAGCCGAGGGTCTATTGGGAACAACCTCTCTATCCTCACAAGGTAGGGGTAAGGTTTGTGTATACACTATCTTCCTCAGACCTTACAGTGTGGGATAATACTGGATATATCGTTATTGTTGTTGTAGTGTCTTGGGAGGGTACATGTATAGCAGCCAGTCTTCTGTTTCTCTCTTCTAGTTGGTGGAACTCGTGAGCCTCTAGCTAGTTCTCATCCAACTGACGATGTTGTCTTATCCATCTTTTGGGTATTATGTCATTCTCACTGTATATGCTCATATCTTTTTTGGTCTCGATATCTCCCTCCCTTAAAGCATGTTTTGATTTTTGCATTTTTTTTGCGAGTGATCTTACTTCGTCGTGTTTCAATACTCGTGCTTTTATCATATTCATTGCTTTAGACTATATCGACAAATTAAAATGGGACTGCAGATATTTTTCTTTCCGTTTCCCCCCTTGCATAGTCTATTAATAACAAGACGGACTTTTTTAATGTGTAAAATAAAAAATTCAATTATTTTGGTTTTCACTGTTCAGTTCAAAGTGAAATATACTTTCTTCAGTCCAAAATAATTGTGATTTACTAATATTTTTATCCGTAATAGGTACTCCCTCCAATCCACAATAAGTAATTTTTTGGCCTTTTTTTGTGGTCCAAAATATATGATATTTTCATATTTCAAGAATGAACTAATTGTTTTTTCCCTACATTTCCATGGCGTAAAAAGTGTTGGAGTATGTGTTGATTATCAGAGTAGCTTAGTCCTTCGAAGAATTCGAGGTAGCTACCCGGCGTCCGTAGACCTTGACTCTCCTTCCCTATCTTCATGCTTTATGTATTTAGTTTCAATTTATCATAGACAGTATTTCAGACTTGTGTTGTATAGACACTCATGTACTCAGTGACACCATGGTTTTGAGAACTTTCGTATTGAGTTTTGACTTTCTGTCTAGTTTATGAGGGCTTTAATTATTTAGACCCGTTTTAGTTCATTTTTCATTTAAAAGTGGAAATATTTTGAGGTATCGGCTTGCTTAGTTCCACGTTAGGTGCCATCACAATAGGCTAAGTTGGGGTCGTGACAGTAATTATACTTAATTTTGTTAGAGAAGAAACAATTGCTAATCAAGCAAAATGCAAGGGCGAAAATCGTTTGATTTCAGAGAATAATCAAAAATCGTGAAGAAGGAGAGATAGACAGAGACAAGAGACAATATGCCGTATACTTGGAGAGAAAATAGTCTTTTTTTAAAGAAGGGTAAAATCATCTTTTTAAAATGTTTTTAACAAAAAAACGAGTACGAATGCAAACGAAAAAATAAAACGGGTACAAATTAAAAATGGCGACCAAATAGGACGCCACATGCAACTTTTACAACATTTATAGCCTGTTTGGCCAAGCTTCTTTTTGGCCAAAAGTGCTTTTTTTTGTTGGCCAAAAGCACTTTTGGCCAAAAATTGAGGTGTTTGGCCAAGCTTTTGGAAGGAAAAAAAGTACTTTTGAGGAGAAGCACAAGCAGTTTTGGAGAAGCAGAAAAAGCAGCTTCTCTCCAAAAGCACTTTTTTGAGAAGCACTTTTGAGAAAAATACACTTAGAAGCAGTTTTCTAAAGCTTGGCCAAACACTAATTGCTGCTCAGAAGTGTTTTTTAAACTAATTAGCCAAACACAAACTGCTTCTCACCAAAAGTACTTTTGAGAAAAACACTTTTGAATAAAAGCACTTCTCAAAATAAGCTGATTTTTGCAGCTTAACCAAACGGGCTATTAGTTTGTGTTCTAATGCTTTTGATAACTGTTAGAACCTTTGCTGATATGGTTGATCCACTTTTTGCTTTTTGCCTTAAACCAGTGAAAGTCAAATACAACTTTAAGCAGGTAGTTTTTTCTTCTTTTAAATTTATCAAGGACGTTTTTGATTTATTTGTTTACCCTAAAAATTCGATAACAATTAAACTTATAATGCGATTTTAAGGACACGTGAT